TAGTAATTTAAAGGTCAAGTATACACAGTATCAGAATCAGACAATTTGGTGCCGTGGCCCCGCTCTACAAAATCTTCATCTAGGAATACTCCTCCGTGAAAATGAACTATTTGGCTCGATACACCAACCTTTATGACCTAAACCAATGTCCTATGCTCTTACACAGATGAATGTTTTGAATTTCGAATATCAAAGAATTCTAAAAAGCTTCAGTGACTGTCCTGTTCTATCCCTGTTATATGATACGCTTGTTTACATTGTTTACAGCCAAGTTCGTAATGTGATATTTCGTTTAGAGATCGCAGGGCGATCGGAAGACACGAAGGCAAACTTCTGACATGAAAAAAACAAAACAAAAACAAAATTGTATGTGCTGCATTTTCTGACTCCTGAAACGAGTCAAGAGTATTTATGATAATCTCACACAGGAAAATATTCTAATTCCCAATTAATGAAATTTGGGAAATGTATGGAWAATTTCCCCAACATTTTTAACATTTCTGGGAAAAAATTGGTAAATGAACAACATAAATAATGTTGAATTCGAAATTTGTGAAAGTGATAGGGTATTTCACACTTTTGGGCAATAGACCCCTTGCATGTGACGTCAAACCAGCTTCATCTGGAGGTCAAAACAAAAGATTTTTATCCTCTTGGGAACTAGAATCCATTGTTTTGTCCTCSAGTTGGAGCTGCATTCCCATGAACTGCAAGGGGTCTATAATGCAAAAACAATCCATTTTAATCCCATTCTTGGGTATACAGTGCAATTCATAGTGCAGTTTATGTCCCATTTCAATCCCATTCAAAAAGGAAAGAGGTTTCTTAACGTACAAATGAACTCTTTTTTGGAAGTTACTATTTATATTAATACGACAGATTATCCTAGAATTTGAAAAAAAATGGTGTTCATTTTCACTTAAAGAAAACATCTGATAATGTTGTTCTGTTGTGATTCTGTTTTATTTCAGTTTTTAAATTATCATACCTTAGATGACTGTTCAATTGTGTAGCAAAGTCATATCTTTCTCCATTGGATGTTACTAATCCATTCACCTTCTGCAATGCCAATGACTGAATCCCATTGATCAGTATTAAGACCTTGTCTTCCTTGTGTTTCCCGTACATATTCACCTGCATGACGACTGCTTTGAACAAAGAAAAAACACCAACACTTTTCTCCTGATAACAATCCTGTGGATTTGACCATGCCAAATGTCATCCAATGCTTCCACTTGGATGAGCACCAGGTCTTCAATTTCAAAGTATACAGGAACAACTATATCATTATGGTAATTTTGTTGCCTCTCTTTTGTAATCAGCCACACAAAGACAGCAGCCATCAATTTTGTATAAAATTACTTCCCTTTCAATACTATGAAGTGGTAATATCAGTACACCAGGTGATAAGTGATCTTGCACTTTGAGGAAGCCACTCCAGAAATCCCTTACTGGAACGCCATTTTCATCATGAAGAGATTGATATTGTGATCTAACTACAAACAATGTTGAAGGGTTTGATTCCCCACTGCACCTAACAGAAGGGAAGTGTGATTATAACTTCTTTTCCAGCTGAGTTGGCAATAGTGGAGCAGCTAGCAGCAGAATCTTTCACTTTGTGATACAAGCATGAAATTTGGCATGGATACTAACTTTAGGTCATATTCAAGGATTAATCGATGTGCCAAACAAAATTTCATATCTAAGTGGAGAAATTTGATAATCAAATTTCCAAGATGGCCGCCATTTTCAAGATGGCGGCCATTTCTAATAAAATTGTTAATAGCTTTCTTTTTTTGCAACAAAACCAACCATATTTTATAAATTATGGTTAAATAGTTGATAAATTTCATTTTAAGTAAGTTTTCGATTATAAAATGAGGTTTTCAACTTCGATTTTGACTACTTCCGGTCCCTATCTAAAAATGGGATTCCTGTGGTGGATTCTGAGTTGGTATTCCTGTGGAATTCTTGTGGCAGCCATTTTGAAGATGGGTTAATAATTCTACCTCGCATTTGCATACAATCGGAGGTCACGTGAGATAGCAAGCATAGTGTRTCCGAGCTCAGTGCGAGTTTGTTGTCCGAGCGAAAAGTTTAAGTMTATCACGTCTCACGCAGATATCTAAATTACGACCGCTAAAAAACATTCAAGTATGTCCAAACCGTCAGAAAGCCCTGAAGAAACATCATCTGAGGTGCATGACGAACTTTTGGAGTCCGACGTCGAGTAAGACACAACTGAAACCCTCCGGGACGAGAAAGCTACGACAAGCACAGGCGAAGTGGYGTCCCGCCAAAACGCCGAGATGAATAACTCTGATATATCACTCCTCAGGTCGGCCATTGTCGACCTTACAAAGCGTCTATCACAAGAYGAAACCCCTTCCGTGAAGGGCAAAGGGAAAGGGCCTGCCAAACGGCTAAGCCATGGCGATAAGAACCTTCYCGCCAAAAAGCGCCGCCATGTTGGCTCCACGAGCACAARKACTGACTCAAAGTCAGCCGGCGACGACACTAATGACATTGACCCTGACCAAATGATGAATAAAATCATCAATGAAAACAACAGTCTGTCAGATAACTCAGACGACGACTGCRATTCGCAAGACTCTAACGATGATACGCTCCTCGAGCAGTTAGAGAAGGAATAYGAGTCGGACGACATTGTCGGGTCAAAACTTCAACATAGCCAGCTTGCAAAATTGCTGGATAAAATGTTTAGACATCGTATGTCTGATAAGGWCTTGAAAGAAAAATTAGATCGTCAAGAAAGGCCAAAAAATTGCCATAACGCTAAAYCTACTAGGGTAAACCCAGGTATTTMTCGTAAACTGGGAGACTTCACGAAAAAGAGAGACTCAAACATGTACAAAATACAGCAAGCCTTGGTAAAAGGCATCATACCAGTAGCAAGAATGACTGACCTGACCATGTCAGGCCGATTGAAGAAGGAGTCTATACAAGAACTGAAGACGCTTGGCCTACAGGCCTTATCATTACTTACTCATGTTAACTATGAAATTAACATGCAGAGAAAACAACTCATGAAAACAGACATAGGAAGGGACTATGCATCATTATGCTCCCCTCATATCCCATTCACTGATGAGCTCTTTGGAGATGACCTTCAAAAGCAATTGAAGGAGATTGGAGACCAAAATAAAATTGGGAAAAAGGTTCACTCCAAAAGTCACCCCAACTATGCAAACTCTGCATCTTACTCCCATTCAAATTACAAGTACTCTCATGATAGAGCTTCAAAAAACTCCAGAGGCCAAGGCTTCAGGCCTTGGCGGAAGAAAGAAGGCCAGAGGCACAAAACAAAGCAGAACCAACAGTCCAAGTAAATCAACCTAGCTCCATTGAGCTGGTAAGTGCTACAAAAAATTTTAGAGCTGGCAACATAGCTAAATTTGTTGATAATTGGAGGTTGTTAACCTCTGATAATAACATCCTTGAGATCATTACTGGCTATCATATAGTCTTTGAGACTTCTCCTTACCAAACTGGAATACCATGTGTCCATTTCTCTAAGGGAGAAGAAGAAATCATTTCAACTGAAATTGACAAATTAATGTCCAAACAAGTTATCACAAAAGCCATGCATTGTGATAATGAATTTATTTCAACAGTTTTCACAAGACCAAAGAAAGATGGGTCACATAGACTCATTCTAAATTTGAAAAATCTTAATGAATATGTTATCTATGAACACTTTAAGATGGAATCCCTGCAATCAGCTGCACAACTTTTGAAAAAAGGCTCATGGATGGCAGTTCTTGATCTCAAGGATGCATACTATTCAGTGCCAATAGCCACTGAACATAGAAAATACCTTAGGTTTCTTTTTAAATCATCACTGTATGAATTCACATGTTTGCCTAATGGCTTGTCTAGTGCACCAAGAGTGTTCACAAAACTAATGAAGCCA